TTCATGATCCTTTTTGTGAATGCAGTTTTGCGTGAGTAATTTTGTGCATGACTTTGTACTTTTACTTATGTGCGTATCTTTTGTAGCGAGTGTTTTTGTGCACGTTTCTTGATGCGCATTCGTGTCCTCGAACTGTAGCGGGTATTTTCATGATCGCTGTTGGAATCCAATTTTGACCATGTTCGAGTCCGAATTTGGAAATTTGACATTAGACAGGAATTGTAGCCAGCTCAAATAGCTTTCTAATGCCGCCGGAACCAGTCGATTTGGATTCCGGATGAGAAAGTTATACTCGACTTCGTGGACGCTACCGAAGATGTTGAGGGATCCTCTCTTCTATTTTGATTTTATTTTCCTAATTGTAACTCTTTTCTTACTCTTTGATCATTTTTGCTTCATGGACACCTAATTATCAATTTGTACCTATAGAATACTAAATCCACCAATTAAAAAAGAAATATAAATTAATCCATAAAAAAATCCACGTAAACGTAAACGTTGAGTGTTATTTCTACCCTACACTGTATCTTTTGTATCTTGTGTTTTAGCTGTTGTTTGGTTATGCGTATTAAAGTCCTTGTGTTGTACTTCGTGTTTTTAAGAACGTTGTTGCGAATGCACTTTTCACTAGGCCAAAACAGCTCACTTGCGACGTTTTTTTTGGCGACGATTCCGGAATCGTCGCTAGTTTGCGACCATTTTGACTAAAAAACGTCGCAAGATATCGGAAAATAAGATTTCGATGGAATATCTCGCGACGATAAAAATAATCGTCGCCAGTATGCGACTAATATCAATAAAACGTCGCAAAGGGGAAAAAAAAATAATAATACACTCTCGTAGCGACGTTTTTGGCGACGATTCCGGAATCGTCGCTAGTTTGCGACCATTTTGACTAAAAAACGTCGCAAGATATCGGAAAATAAGATTTCGATGGAATATCTCGCGACGATAAAAATAATCGTCGCCAGTATGCGACTAATATCAATAAAACGTCGCAAAGGGCAATTGTGAAAAAAAACAAATTATTGGGTTGGCGACGAATAAGGATAAACGTAGCGTAATAAAGAGGAAATATGAAATTATATTTATTCGTAGCGACGAAAATAGTGTATTCGTCGCATGTAAAATACTTTGTTAAAAGAATTATAATTATTATTTGCGACGATAGTGTATGAATCGTCGCCAAAATAATTATAGAAAAAATCTCGCATTTCTATAGCGACGTTTCTTACAGAAACGTCGCAAATCTATTTAATTTTTTTTTGGTTGCGACGAAAGTGATTAAAACGTCGCTACGAGATTCATTTAAATCTGAATTGGCGACAATTTATTAGGAATCGTCGCAAAAAATTGAATTATAAGTCAGGCCCTAATCTGATTTTCTTCTCGTTTCTCTCTCTCTTTCAATCTTCCCCTCCGCCGGTCCTCCCCCTCCGCCTCCGCCGGTCCTCCCCCTCCGCCTCCGCCGACGCAGTCTGCCGCTGCCGCTGCTCTCCGCCGTCCGCCGTCCGTCGCTGCACTCGGATGATGAAGAAGATTCGATGTCCTCGGATATTAACTGCTTAAGCCAAAATGATAAATCGGATACTAGTTCGGTTCTTAAATCTGCTATGGCATCCAAATCTGGTACTAGTCTTGTTCATCGTATGATACAATTGCCTTTCTTTTTATTGAATTTCTGCAAATATGGTGATGGATTGAAGAAAGAAAAAGAGATTTTTTTTTTATTAATTATTGAAGAAATTGATTCAAAGCAGGTGGAGCATATATGGGGGATGGGAGGGCGGGCAATTCGAGCAGTAAGCCGGAGTAGCTCGAGCAATACGATGTGATTGGGAAAATCGGAGAGGGAACATACGGTTTGGTTTTCTTGGCGAAGATTAAGGCGAACTGCTCCAAATCCATTGCGATTAAGAAATTCAAGCAGTCCAAAGATGGCGACGGCGTTTCCCCCCACCGCGATTCGTGAAATTATGGTTAATTGCAAAACCCCCCTTTTTTAATTTTAATTTTTTTTGGGTGTTTCTGCGTTTTACATGATTTTCTCCAGCAATGTATGTATTATTGTATACGACACGTGTTTCTGGTTGTGCTATGTTTATGGGGATTCTCTGTTGATTAGATTGGCTAAGAAGAAAAAGAAAATGTTATTTTTCTTGTGGTTGGGTCTGGAGTGTGTGTGTGTGTGTGTGTGTGTGTGTGTGTGTGTGTGTGTGTGTGTGTGAAGTGTGGTAGATTGATGATTCATGTTATTACCATGTTTTTGTATTTCTTTCCTTTAACTCTTTCCTTAGAATTTTCATTTTCGTATATAGGTGAGAATAGGAAGGAAAAGTCTCTTGGGTTTCTTACACATAATTTTGTTAAGCTGTTTCTCTGCACCGATGTAAGTATATTTCATGTCGAACATTAATATTGATATTTGTTTGGTTTGCATCTTATGAATATAAATTGTCTTCAAATTCAGATGGATTTGATTTCTCTCGAAGATGCAGCAAAGCTTTTGCTCGGTGACGGAAAGCACACTTCAATGACTACTAGAAGTAAGATACCTTTACCTTATTTATTTATCTTGCTTTATTGCTTAAATGAAAGATACAATAATAAATTTCTTAACATTAGTTTCATTCAACTCTCCAGCAAAAGTCAGAAGACTGTACGATATTGCCAATGTGTTATCTTCCATGAAATTCATCGAGAAGGTGATTCATCGTATATCCTAATTCTACATTAATTTTATGAAACTCGTTATGTGGATTTATAATTTTAACACTTATTCTGTACAATATACAGATTCATCACCCTGAGACAAGAAAACCTGCTTTTAGATGGTTAGGGCTGAATGGAAAACCCGATAATGGAATTGTAGACTCGAAGAAGAGGATTTTTGGGACTGATTTAACTAATACAGCAAAGAGGTTTAAGGTTGATGAAGATGGGCTTCAAATCTTGAAGCCAGTTAACCTAATGCGAGTAAAAAACGAGACCGAAAACGAGAATGATAGAACAACTACAATGGGTGCAAAGAGTTACCTGTTTGGCCCTTTTGCACCTGCAAATGTACCCCAAGTTGGAGTGTCGAACGATTATAAGGGAAAGCAGGTTGTTGATTGGGAAAGCTTGGCTTCTACTTACCGGCCTAAGTATCACAACCAAGGTATTTTCTTGAAATTGTTGATTTCATCATATCAAAATATTTTTTCTTAGTTAAATAAATTCCAATCATTTCTTTCATTCGAAGTGTCGTGTTCGTGTTTGTGCTGTGTTTATCAAATAATAGACAACAAGATGCAAGTGATACAAATAGTATATACATTCATTTTCTTTATTTCAAGTTCCATACTGTCTAGGCACGCCATTTTTTCCAAGAAACAACTATGTTCGTTTATCTAATAATTCGTCATCGCTAAATTCGTGTCTGGACAACAGTTGAATAGTTGCTTATTTCTCATGAATATTTGTTTTAAATAATGTTGTTGCATACATGGATAGTTTTTTTGGGGATGTTCATTTATTAGTTGCTATGCTGTCGAAATTTTTGCTAAACAAGTGTACTTAATCATTTTCAGGCTGATTTGGAACGAGTGTACGATGAGACAATTCGTGATGGAAGTGACGAAAGCACGGCCAACTCAATTGCGATAGAAAAAGTGCTCGGAAAAAGCAAAGGGCTTGGAATTAAGATTGCAACCACCACAAAGAATCGGTTTTAATATTTTCGATATAAGTGTTTTTTTTTGATATAAGTGTATTTTTTTTTATATAAGTGTATTTTTTTTTATATAAGTTTATTTAATCCGTATAATTGGTTTTAATATTTTCGATATAAGTGTATTTTTTTTTTGTACAACTGCTGAATACAGGTTGAATTTGTTAATTGAAAAAATAAATAAACCAGAAATTATATTAAAAAAAAAAAACCTAGCGACGAATAAATAAAACAAATCGTCGCAAATAAATCGTGGCCTTGCGACGAAAAAGACTATTAGTCGCAAACATTTTTCACAAACGTAGCGACGAAACCGTCACAAAACGTCGCTGAATATAGCGACGAAAATATAATTCGTCGCCAATGTTTGCGACTTATTCTTTATTCGTCGCAACTGGGCAGCGACGAAAGTATAGGATCCGTCGCGAAAATTAAAAAACATTTTTTCCCAGAAAATACGAATGTTGTGACGATTTATGAAATTCGTCGCCAAACGTTGCGTCGAAAATGACTTTTCGTCGCCGACCTTGCGACGGGACGTTTGGCGACGTTTTTGGTATGATTTGGCGACGAAAATAATTCGTCGCAAACAGTAAAAAATCGTCGCCAAATAGACATTTTCGTCGCCAGTCGACCATTTTGGCCTAGTGTTTGCGCATGTTTTTTTACATGTACATTTGTGCATGTCCATTTGAGCGAGTGTGTTTGTGCAGGTTTGTTGATTTGTATTAATGTCCTAGGATTGTAGTTTGCGTTTTCATGATCCTTTTTGCGAATGCAGTTTTGCGTGAGTAATTTTGTGCATGATTTTGAACTTTTACTTATGTGCGTATCTTTTGTAGCGAGTGTTTTTGTGCACGTTTCTTGATGCGCATTCGTGTCCTCGAACTGTAGCGGGTATTTTCATGATCGCTGTTGGAATCAAATTTTGACCATGTTCGAGTCCGATTGACAGGAATTGTAGCCAGCTCAAATAGCTTTCTAATGCCGCCGGAACCAGTCGATTTGGAGTCCGGATGAGAAAGTAATGCTCGACTTCGTGGACGCTACCGAAGATGTTGAGGGATCTTCTCTTCTAATTTGATTTTATTTACCTAATTGCAACTCTTTTCTTACTCATAGATCATTTTTGCTTCATGGACACCTAATTATAAATTTGTACCTATAGAATACTAAATCCACCAATTAAAAAAGTAATATAAATTAATCCATAAAAAAATCCACGTAAACGTAAACGTTGAGTGTTATTTCTACACTCCACTGTATCTTTTGTATCTTGTGTTTTTGCTGTTGTTTGGTTATGCGTATTAAAATCCTTGTGTTGTACTTCGTGTTTTTAAGAACGTTGTTGTGAATGCACTTTTGCGCATGTTTTTTTACATGTACATTTGTGCATGTCCATTTGAGCGAGTGTGTTTGTGCATGTTTGTTGATTTGTATTAATGTCCTAGGATTGTAGTTTGCGTTTTCATGATCCTTTTTGCGAATGCAGTTTTGCGTGAGTAATTTTGTGCATGACTTTGTACTTTTACTTATGTGCGTATCTTTTGTAGCGAGTGTTTTTGTGCAAGTTTCTTGACGCGCATTCGTGTCCTCGAACTGTCGCGGGTATTTTCATGATCGCTGTTGGAATCCAATTTTGACCATGTTCGAGTCCGAATTTTGAAATTTGACATTAGACAGGAATTGTAGCCAGCTCAAACAGCTTTCTAATGCCGCCGGAACCAGTCGATTTGGAGTCCGGATGAGAAAGTTCTGCTCGACTTCGTGGACGCTACCGAAGATGTTGAGGGATCCTCTGTTCTAATTTGATTTTATTTTCCTAATTGCAACTCTTTTCTTACTCTTTGATCATTTTTGCTTCATGGACACCTAATTATCAATTTGTACCTATAGAATACTAAATCCACCAATTAAAAAAGAAATATAAATTAATCCATAAAAAACTCCACGTAAACGTAAACGTTGAGTGTTATTTCTACACTCCACTGTATCTTTTGTATCTTGTGTTTTTGCTGTTGTTTGGTTATGCGTATTAAAGTCCTCGTGTTGTACTTCGTGTTTTTAAGAACGTTGTTGCGAATGCACTTTTGCGCATGTTTTTTTACATGTACATTTGTGCATGTCCATTTGAGCGAGTGTGTTTGTGCATGTTTGTTGATTTGTATTAATGTCCTAGGATTGTAGTTTGCGTTTTCATGATCCTTTTTGCGAATGCAGTTTCGCGTGAGTAATTTTGTGCATGACTTTGTACTTTTACTTATGTGCGTATCTTTTGTAGCGAGTGTTTTTGTGCACGTTTCTTGATGCGCATTCGTGTCCTCGAACTGTAGCGGGTATTTTCATGATCGCTGTTGGAATCCAATTTTGACCATGTTCGAGTCCGAATTTGGAAATTTGACATAAGACAGGAATTGTAGCCAGCCCAAATAGCTTTCTAATGCCGCCAGAACCAGTCGATTTGGAGTCCGGATGAGAAAGTTATGCTCGACTTCGTGGACGCTACCGAAGATGTTGAGGGATCCTCTCTTCTAATTTGATTTTATTTTCCTAATTGCAACTCTTTTCTTACTCTTTGATCATTTTTGCTTCATGGACACGTAATTATCAATTTGTACCTATAGAATACTAAATCCACCAATTAAAAAAGAAATATAAATTAATCTATAAAAAAATCCACGTAAACGTAAACGTTGAGTGTTATTTCTTCTTCGTCACACAAGGGGCCGTTCGGCCGTTCAGAGAATACTGTTTGGTTATGTGTATTAAAGTCCTCGTGTTGTACTTCGTGTTTTTAAGAACGTTGTTGCGAATGCACTTTTGCGCATGTTTTTTTACATTGTCATTTGTGCATGTCCATTTGAGCGAGTGTGTTTGTTGTGCATGTTTGTTGATTTTATTAATGTCCTAGGATTGTAGTTTGCGTTTTCATGATCCTTTTTGCGAATGCAGTTTTGCGTGAGTAATTTTGTGCATGACTTTGTACTTTTACTTATGTGCGTATCTTTTGTAGCGAATGTTTTTGTGCACGTTTCTTGATGCGCATTCGTGTCCTCGAGCTGTAGCGGGTATTTTCATGATCGTTGTTGGAATCCAATTTTGACCATGTTCGAGTCCGAATTTGGAAATTTGACATTAGACAGGAATTGTAGCCAGCTCAAATAGCTTTCTAATGCCGCCGGAACCAGTCGATTTGGAGTCCGGATGAGAAAGTTATGCTCGACTTCGTGGACGCTACCGAAGATGTTGAGGGATCCTCTCTTCTAATTTGATTTTATTTTCCTAATTGCAACTCTTTTCTTACTCTTTGATCATTTTTGCTTCATGGACACGTAATTATCAATTTGTACCTATAGAATACTAAATCCACCAATTAAAAAAGAAATATAAATTAATCCATAAAAAAATCCACGTAAACGTAAACGTTGAGTGTTATTTCTACACTCCACTGTATCTTTTGTATCTTGTGTTTTTGCTGTTGTTTGGTTATGCGTATTAAAGTCCTCGTGTTGTACTTCGTGTTTTTAAGAACGTTGTTGCGAATGCACTTTTGCGCATGTTTTTTTACATGTACATTTGTGCATGTCCATTTGAGCGAGTGTGTTTGTGCATGTTTGTTGATTTGTATTAATGTCCTAGGATTGTAGTTTGCGTTTTCATGATCCTTTTTGCGAATGCAGTTTTGCGTGAGTAATTTTGTGCATGACTTTGTACTTTTACTTATGTGCGTATCTTTTGTAGCGAGTGTTTTTGTGCACGTTTCTTGACGCGCATTCGTTTCCTCGAACTGTAGCGGGTATTTTCATGATCGCTGTTGGAATCCAATTTTGACCATGTTCGAGTCCGAATTTGGCAATTTGACATTAGATAGGAAATGTAGCCAGCTCAAATAGCTTTCTAATGCCGACGGAACCAGTTGATTTGGAGTCCGGATGAGAAAGTTATGCTCGACTTCGTGGACGCTACCGAAGATGTTGAGGGATCCTTTCTTCTAATTTGATTTTATTTTCCTAATTGCAACTCTTTTCTTACTCTTTGATCATTTTTGCTTCATGGACACGTAATTATCAATTTGTACCTATAGAATACTAAATCCACCAATTAAAAAAGAAATATAAATTAATCCATAAAAAACTCCACGTAAACGTAAACGTTGAGTGTTATTTCTACACTCCACTGTATCTTTTGTATCTTGTGTTTTTGTTGTTGTTTTGTTATGCGTATTAAAGTCCTCGTGTTGTATTTCGTGTTTTTAAGAACGTTGTTGCGAATGCACTTTTGCGCATGTTTTTTTACATGTACATTTGTGCATGTCCATTTGAGCGAGTGTGTTTGTGCATGTTTGTTGATTTGTATTAATGTCCTAGGATTGTAGTTTGCGTTTTCATGATCCTTTTTGCGAATGCAGTTTTGCGTGAGTAATTTTGTGCATGACTTTGTACTTTTAGTTATGTGCGTATCTTTTGTAGCGAGTGTTTTTGTGCACGTTTCTTGATGCGCATTCGTGTCCTCAAACTGTAGCGGGTATTTTCATGATCGTTGTTGGAATCATATTTTGACCATGTTCGAGTCCGAATTTGGAAATTTGACATTAGACAGGAATTGTAGCCAGCTCAAATAGCTTTCTAATGCCGCCTGAACCAGTCGATTTGGAGTCCGGATGAGAAAGTTATGCTCGACTTCGTGGACGCTACCGAAGATGTTGAGGGATCCTCTCTTCTATTTTGATTTTATTTTCCTAACTTCAACTCTTTTCTTACTCTTTGATCATTTTTTCTTCATGGACACCTAATTATAAATTTGTACCTATAGAATACTAAATCCACCAATTAAAATAGAAATATAAATTAATCCATAAAAAAATCCACGTAAACGTAAACGTTGAGTGTTATTTCTACACTACACTGTATCTTTTGTATCTTGTGTTTTTGCTGTTGTTTGGTTATGCGTATTAAAGTCCTCGTGTTGTACTTCGTGTTTTTAAGAACGTTGTTGCGAATGCACTTTTGCGCATGTTTTTTTACATGTACATTTGTGCATGTCCATTTGAGCGAGTGTGTTTGTGCATGTTTGTTGATTTGTATTAATGTCCTAGGATTGTAGTTTGCGTTTTCATGATCCTTTTTGCAAATGCAGTTTTGCGTGAGTAATTTTGTGCATGACTTAGTACTTTTACTTATGTGCGTATCTTTTGTAGCGAGTGTTTTTGTG